TGTATCATCAAAGGTCTAAAATAGATTCAGGAAGAAAACTTATATTAAAATTAAGATTTTGTTTTAAGAACAGTAGAAAAATTAATAAAAACCATATAATCTGAGTGCTTTCAAAAGGTGGACCTTTTAAAAGCACTTGGATTATAAGGTTTTATCATTTTGTATCAAGACTTCTTGAACGTATGTGTTTTTCTGACATCATGAACAATAGAAAAATATCTTTATAGCCTGAGCTGAAAATTAAGAACATGACATCAGTTTAGCATATGCTATTAATTTCAATATTTACTCTCTAACTTTGTTGGTTTAAAAAAAGACAAACTATACAAACATTGTTATAATCATATCTTACAAGAGCAAGTTAATTTGTACAAAAATTATGTTGTTTTTTTTAAACTTCTGTTGAACGTTTGTTTAGATAGTCGGGAAATGTAGATCCAATTACAAGTTTAAAAATGTGTATTGTCTAGCAGAATAGAAGACCGAGCAACACATGAACGATTTTCACAAGTGGTGGGTGTAGCTATGATGACAGGACGAAATATGAAGAGACCTGAAGCTGGTACTGTGAAGTTACAGTTAAGCCTTCAGCCTAAAAAAGAGGTTCTGGTATGTGGATTAATGTTTAGCTAAGCCTAATAAGGAGGATCTGATGTGTAAATTAATGTATAGTCTAACTAGGATAATATGTTATGTGGATTAATGTGTAGCTAAGCCTAATAAGGAGGATCTGATGTGTAAATTAATGTATAGTCTAACTAGGATAATATGTTATGTGGATTAATGTGTAGCTAAGCCTAATAAGGAGGTTCTGATGTGTACATTAATGTGTAGTCTAACTAGGATAATATGTTATGTGGATTAATGTGTAGCTAAGCCTAATAAGGAGGTTCTGATGTGTACATTAATGTGTAGTCTAACTAGGATAATATGTTATGTGGATTAATGTGTAGCTAAGCCTAATAAGGAGGTTCTGATGTGTAAATTAATCTATAGTCTAACTAGGATAATATGTTATGTGGATTAATGTGTAGCTAATCCTAATAAGGAGGTTCTGATGTGTACATTAATGTATAGTCTAACTAGGATAATATGTTATGTGGATTAATGTGTAGCTAAGCCTAATAAGGAGGATCTGATGTGTAAATTAATGTGTAGTCTAACTAGGATAATATGTTATGTGGATTAATGTGTAGCTAAGCCTAATAAGGAGATTCGGATGTGTACATTAATGTATAGTCTAACTAGGATAATATGTCAGTTTCTGTAAGATACTTTTCATATGTATTATCATGAAAATGTTAAGCATTAATCAGTCTAACCAGGATATCTGACATATACATGTATTAATGAGAAATAACATATAATAGGTCTTATTGGTTGAATTTTGTCTAGCAGGGCTTGATCTTTAAAAAATGAACTGTTTATGCTTTTTTCATTTGTATCAATGTACAGACATTGTAATATTAGTGTACTGTAAGACATAAGTTGTTCATGAAAAATATACAAGGTTTACGTGAGCACAATAGCAGCTGTCTGTTCATTTGTTAATGAATGCATGATACAAAATTGTAGAAAAACTACAGTTAAAAAAAGGACTTTCAACTTAAGAACTTTAAACTATTTTCTAATACTAATATTTTAACTTAATCCAATTGTTTGCTAGTAATTGATAAATTTAACATGTATAATTTCACGAGTATAAATCATCTTTTTATGAAAAAATCTGTAAGGAAATATATGGTAAGCCAGGATGGCTATTTGTATTTTAAAATAAAAAAGAAACATTGAAAATAAAATCTATGTTAATCTACAAATGTACTAGTTTGCATTAGTTTAGTTATAGTTTTTTATCATTTTTATTCAGTGCTCTTAACAACTGATTGGTCAGTGTACCTTTAACAAATAAAACACAGCTAATGAATATGTTAAAAGGAAATATGTCTTTGTGTCCAATTCAGAGTTTAAAGTTTGCTGAAGAAGAGAAATTTCAATGATAATTTTGTAATCATAATAAATTAATCATGCAGAATTCAACATTTTGTACTATAAAAACTGTTCCAGTAAGAGTCAAGTGTCTAATAATAATCAACCTGAAGAAATACTAAATTTAATTAACCTTACATATTTAATTTATTTTTCTGCTGTAAAATTTTTAATAGTTTTGTTATGTTCACAGTAATACAAGTATCTGTTATTACAGGGTTCAGCTCATAACCTAACTTGTGGACGAATTGATTATTCAAACCAGTGAGTACTAAAATTAAGTTCAGTAAACATCTTTTACCAGTTCTTCTGGACCTGATTTAGTTAAGTAGTATTTACCAGTCTTCTGGGCTTGATTTGGTTAAGTAGTTTTTGACCTGGCCAGTCTTCTAGACTTAATGTGCTTAGGTAATATTGACCAGTGTCCTGGACCTGATTTGGCTGAGTAGTTTTGACCAGTCTTTTGGACCTTATTTGGTTAAGTAGTTTTGACCAGTCTCCTGGACTTCATTTGGTTAAATAGTTCTGACTGTCTCCTGGACGTCATTTGGTTAAGCAATTTTTACCAGTCTCCTGAACCTCAATTCGTTAAGTAGTTTTGATCAGTCTTCTTTACCCATTGTGATTAAGAATATATTTTTGACCAGTCTTCTGGACCTCATTTGGTTGGGTTGTTTTGACCAGTATTCTGGACCTCATTTGGTTGAGTTATTTTGACCACTCTTCTGGATCTTATTTGGTTGAGACTGGTCAAAACAACTCAACCAAATAAGGTCCAGAAGACTGGTCAAAATAATTATTGTTTCTGAATAGTGTGGTGTTTTATCATAAAGAATAAAGTTTATTCCAAGTGCTATAGAATTGTTTTCTTTAACTTGTCAGGTGCATTTTTTAAATATCCTTGTTCATTCATTTATAGAGCTTCAACTCACCCCAACCCATAAGCACAATCTTCAGCTTGAGATGATTAACACATTGCATGTTCACACATTCTACGTAGACTGTGAGGACGACACACAGCAGCATACAAAACGCACTCAAGAGAAAGAAGGTCAGCACTGAAAGAACTGGAAGATAATAATTCTGGAAGAAAAAAGAAAAGGTTTCTCATTATCTACTATGAATCTTATTTGGCTGTCTTAACGTGTAACTGTCAATGTATTAAATCGTGCAACATGTGTATTTACTGTACTATTAAACGTTTCATTCTTGAATAACTCAGTGATTTTCTTTGGTGAACGGTCACAACTTAACCTTTATTTTCAAGTAACCAGAGCAATGACCTTTACTTATAACATGAACTGAGAGTGACCTTTTGTTAATAAATATTTTACAGACTATATCATAGGTCAGTAAGGTTGACCTTAGTCCCTGGTTGACACACACGCAAGTTCAAGGACATGAGACATGGTGTTTGCAAATAAACAAAGATACTGATAACAAAACTTAGGGCTGAACCTGATAAAATGTTTTTCATTTTCTGTTGGGCTATTGCTTTTTAAATGATAAGATAAAAATTATTACTTTTTAAATAAGTTTAAAACAAAAAGTTAAATCTATCATTATCACACATGTACACAGTGGAGGGTTTGAGGGGGTTCAGCCAAACTCCCTATTTTTGTGATGTCAAAAAATACTGCGACTAAGTTCATGTTCGACATCTGTTCTCTGCCAGAGGTGTACACAAGCCAAAGAAAGACTGAGTGCTCTAACTTTAATACATAACAACATTTATGTCTAGCTCCCCACGTAGTGTTACAACAGAATGATGATTTGTTGACTTTTCATTGGATGTTTGTGAATTCTATGTGAACAGCCGTACAATTGTTCAAGGTATATTTCACATAAAATTACTTTTACATTTAATCTCATAGCACCTATTTTTTACAAATTTTCGGTGGGGCATGCCCCCCAGACTCCCAATAGCATTAGCATGCCGATTGTGCTTTGCACAAAATGTGTTGGGTTTGATCTCACATATTAGAACCTCTTCCTTTCAAACATATGGGCCTGATTATGATATTATCTTATGAATATTTACCTGTGACAAAGAGCCATAGGAGGCTCGCAGAAATATACTGTAAAATCCAATCACTGTGGAAGTAAACTGTATTTTGAGAGCTGTAATGGCTCCACTCACATGCCTGAGAGAGAAAAAAAAATTGTTAAGCACCTACAGCATTAGGTAATATCACTAAAAGTAGCAAGTGAAGTTAAATATTCAAACACAACGAACTATATACGGTCAGAAAGATAAAACAAACTGTTTAACTTCATACTTTTTACAACAAACTATATATATATACGATCACAAAGATAAAAAACTGTTTAACTTCACACTTTTTACAACAAACTATATACGGTCACAAAGATAAAACAAACTGTTTAACTTCACACTTTTATAACAAACAATATACGGTCAGAAAGATAAAACAAACTGTTTAACTTCACACTTTTTACAACAAACTATATACAGTCAGAAAGATAAAACAAACTGTTTAACTTCACACTTTTTACAACAAACTATATACGGTCACAAAGATAAAACAAACTGTTTAACTTCACACTTTTTATAACAAACCATACGGTCACAAAGATAAAACAAACTGTTTAACTTCACACTTTTTACAACAAACTATATACAGTCAGAAAGATAAAACAAACTGTTTAACTTCACACTTTTTACAACAAACTATATACGGTCACAAAGATAAAACAAACTGTTTAACTTCACACTTTTTACAACAAACTATATACGGTCACAAAGATAAAACAAAGTGTTTAACTTCACACTTTTTATCTAGGAATTCACTACTCTGCTAAAAGTACAGAACTTTATTTAAAAATTTAAAGATGCACACTCAGAATCATAACTAGGCACCTTAATACCCAGGACAGAGGATCATATTTGTGTCTCCCCTGTCAATCATAATGAAACAAAGCATGACAGTTTAATATAATCTATAATAATGTGTATCTAATTTACTGACAGAAAATTAATCCATCATATTTTCATCTCTGTGTTTATAATACACTTTTACTTACAACACTATGATAAGTGAACTTACAAACCAACTTCGTCAAATTTCCATAACTACATCTCTGTCTTTACACATAAATAAATGTTTGTAAGAAACAGTATCGCAGTTTGGAGAATAATAAAAAGATGTGTATTTTATTTTAATGAACGATTTTAAGCACTGCAGCAAATCATCCAAAAATTTAAAGGATTATTCTAAAATAAGATACTAGTAACAACTTGTGTTATTGATTTGTTTTCAATGTGTTGGACCTAATCATCAACATTTTTTTTCTTTTCTCATTCACTTGTAGCATAATTGCAATTTTGTTTGTACTTATATATTTACAGTATATTCCAATTATATTGACCCACAAAACTAGTACAAAATTAGTTATAAGTTGTTCTACCTCATCTGGAGGTACACTTACCTCCAGCAAATCACAAGTTCAGAAAGAGTGAGAGACAAAAAACAAATGCAAACAATACATCCAGTTCCAGTAACTTTCTCAAACCCTCCGAAAGTGTCTCCGTTGGTCTGAAACGATAACATTCAGTAAAAGTAACAAATGAGTTTTATATTCACAGAATACGGTTATAAAAACATCAAACTTCTCAGAGTGACAGAAAAGAATTAACTACGATTACATTTCGTTTGTATTATTCTACAAATCTTGTATTTAAAAATACTGTTGCAATAATGATACTAATTTGACAGCAAATGTTTTGTGGGTCTCTGCTAGTAAATATGTAAAATCTTGTTGTAATGAATTGAGGGGAAGTTTTATCAATTCCCCAAAATCAATTTTTCCCTTACAATACCAGTAAACAACGCTGAATACACAAAACTTTCAACAACTTTTGTAAGATACCAAAAGGTGTTAGGGATATGTCTTTACACTTCTAAGTGATACAAGACTTCAAGTGATACCTTTTGTAAGATACCAAAAGGTGTTAGGGATATGTCTTTACACTTCTAAGTGATACAAGACTTCAAGTGATACCTTTTGTAAGATACCAAAAGGTGTTAGGGATATGTCTTTACACTTCTAAATGATACAAGACTTCAAGTGATACCTTTTGTAAGATACCAAAAGGTGTTAGGGATATGTCTTTACACTTCTAAGTGATACAAGACTTCAAGTGATACCTTTTGTAAGATACCAAAAGGTGTTAGGGATATGTCTTTACACTTCTAAGTGATACAAGACTTCAAATCAATAATTTATAATAGTTTATGCTGTTAAGTCATATATTTCATAGATACTAATAAAGCACATCGCACTAAAGGTTTGAGCGTACCGTTTCTAGAAAGGAAGAAAGCACCAAGACAAAGGTTCCAACCCGATCACAAACACACACCACCTGTCTTCTAGACATAACCCGATTACACTCATCAAGGTAATACTGAAATTTCCTAAATTGAAGAAACAAATTAAAGTAGCCATTACATTAAAGCCCACAGACACAAAATTCTAAAACTTATTTCCATATTTTGTACGTGAAATATATTTTTAAGTCACAATATAAGACTAGAATGAAAAACACCAAATTCATTTGATAGCTGAAGCTTGTTTCATGCAACTAATACTTATTTCATAAAACAAAAACACATAAACTCACATCTTGTGTTATTATTAACTCAAAATCCAAATATTATATGCACATAAAGCATAAACCAGTATACAAAACATTAAAAATATTATGTTTTTCAGTTTCTTACTGGCTAAGTAAGGATACAGTTTACAGATCTAAATAATACTTGTCATTAAAGAATATACAACCTTAGAGGTGTTATATCAGAATAAAGAAATCTCTCTAGAAATTCTGTGTTATAAGATTATGAAAGATTTATTTCACTCTTAAAAAGACTTTGAAAATAATTTATCCTGTAAATGTAACATGTGCTTTTTGTAGCAACATGTTTACAATGGTAGTGTACTTATTTAAGGAGGGGTTGTTTTGGAATAGGTAACTGAAAGTGATGAACTCTACATTAATTAATAAATCGTATGACAGTGTAAAATTTACATGAATGGAGTTTTCTCATACGTGTTTTTTAATTATTATTAAGCAGTTACGTACAAGCTACTTAATACTATGTTTAGCTTTAATTGTATTTTATTTTAGTGTTTGATTTGTCATACGATCACACATCATCCATTCTTGTTTGCTGTGTAATCCTAGTTAAAAATTAAGGCACAAAAAAACAACACACCACATGGAGTATGTTAAAATTATCACACCTATCACCAACTCAAAACCCATACAATGGACAAATAGATATTAAATCATTCACACTATAAAACTTGCTCTCTGTCAATACCAAGTAGTTCACACTTGCCTAGCCAAACCAAGCCCAGAAAACTAGTCAAAACACACCCAGAAAACCAGTCAAAATAACTCAACCAAATGAGGTCCAGAATACTGGTCAAAACAACTCAACCAAATAAGGTCCAGAAGACTGGTCAAAATAACTCAATCAAATAAGGTCCAGAAGACTGGTAAACACAACCCAACCAAATGAGGTCCAGAATACTGGTCAAAATAACCCAACCAAATGAGGTCCAGAATACTGGTCAAAACAACTCAACCAAATAAGGTCCAGAATACTGGTCAAAACAACTCAACCAAATAAGGTCCAGAAGACTGGTCAAAACAACTCAACCAAATAAGGTCCAGAATACTGGTCAAAACAACTCAACCAAATAAGGTCCAGAAGCAGAACAAAAACATACATTCTTAGTTCTACTGGAATAAACTTTATTCTTTATGATAAAACACACACCATTCAGAAACAATAGCAGAACAAAACATACATTCTTAGTTCTAATGGAATAAACTTTATTCTTTATGATAAAACCACACCATTCAGAAACAATAGCAGAACAAAACATACATTCTTAGTTCTACTGGAATAAACTTTATTCTTTATGATAAAACCACACCATTCAGAAACAATAGCAGAACAAAACATACATTCTTAGTTCTACTGGAATAAACTTTATTCTTTATGATAAAACCACACCATTCAGAAACAATAGCAGAACAAAACATACATTCTTAGTTCTAATGGAATAAACTTTATTCTTTATGATAAAACACCACACCATTCAGAAACAATAGCAGAACAAAACATACATTCTTAGTTCTACTGGAATAAACTTTATTCTTTATAA